AATATAATAAATATAATATATAAAACAACCTATGACAGAACAACAGAACGTTTGAGGGACAAATGAATAAGACAAATTATCATTTAACTGGACAGGTAATGCATGAGCAGAATACAAATTCATAAATGTAGAGTAACTTATGCGTATATATTGAAATAAAATGACTTGTATAAGAATGACAATGGTAATAATAATTGTGCAGTTACACATGTTTTTGAGTAACAATCAAAAAATACATTATATAAAATAATTAGTTACAACAACAAATAATATTATTAAATAACTAACATTTAGGTACAGATGAGTACAGGAAGGGGATGCATTAGAAACGTTCAAATAAAGAAGAAACAGCAGTGAACTGAAGTAAAGCAGGGTAGCCTAAGATTTCTGTTTACGAACGTCTGCTCCAGTAATTCACCTCAAATATTTGTCTCATCCTATGAGTAATTATCAGTAAATTAAACGTGAACATCATAAAACCTGTCTTTGCCTCCCCCACATTTTTAAAGACAAGGCGTCTTTAATGACATAATTAATTAGCAGGCCGGAGCTCAAAACACACCTTTTCATAGTGGTCTAATAATATTCCCAAATTTCAGTTTGACACGGCGATTCAGGGTTACAGTTGCAGCGAGAATGAGAACGAAAAGAACCATAAATCAGTCACCTCCCTTCCAGCTCTGTCAGTTAGCAGCTTTTGTTACCTACCTGTAAGCTGAATCCATTCCTTACAGGCAGCAGGGGGAATGAATCGTCCCTGAGGGTCTTCAGTGTTTTTTACTGTGTTCCAGTGCACCTGGTAGAGAAAGAGCGAGCGACACACGGGCTTCTGCGGCTCTCTATTACCCCATCTGCTCTCTGAGCCATCACTAACTGGGTGGGAAAGGACTAAATAACGAAATATTTGATTTATCACTGCCGTGCGAATGGAATAAAAATATTATTAGCGGCTTATTGAAGAACTCACGTTTAGGTCGTAAAAGAGTTCCTTATTTAATTATGGGAAAAGCGAGACGGCGCCCCACAAAATGTGATTTTTTTTTACAAATGTCCAAGAATGCTTTCATCTGATTAAAATAAAGCGAAGATTTTTCAGATGCGTGAATGCTGTCACTGGCCCCATTGTGTGCGTGCCGCTTTGAGCGTATCAGGCTGGGGTGGAGGGGTCAGGGGTCAGTGGGTGGTCAGTAGTGTGGACAGCTTGATGAAGCTGAGGGGAATTAAACGTGAACATCATAAAACCTGTCTTTGCCTCCCCCACATTTTTAAAGACAAGGCGTCTTTAATGACATAATTAATTAGCAGGCCGGAGCTCAAAACACACCTTTTCATAGTGGTCTAATAATATTCCCAAATTTCAGTTTGACACGGCGATTCAGGGTTACAGTTGCAGCGAGAATGAGAACGAAAAGAACCATAAATCAGTCACCTCCCTTCCAGCTCTGTCAGTTAGCAGCTTTTGTTACCTACCTGTAAGCTGAATCCATTCCTTACAGGCAGCAGGGGGAATGAATCGTCCCTGAGGGTCTTCAGTGTTTTTTACTGTGTTCCAGTGCACCTGGTAGAGAAAGAGCGAGCGACACACGGGCTTCTGCGGCTCTCTATTACCCCATCTGCTCTCTGAGCCATCCCTAACTGGGTGGGAAAGGACTAAATAACGAAATATTTGATTTATCACTGCCGTGCGAATGGAATAAAAATATTATTAGAGGCTTATTGAAGAACTCACGTTTAGGTCGTAAAAGAGTTCCTTATTTAATTATGGGAAAAGTGAGACGGCGCCCCACAAAATGTGATTTTTTTTACAAATGTCCAAGAATGCTTTCATCTGATTAAAATAAAGCGAAGATTTTTCAGATGCGTGAATGCTGTCACTGGCCCCATTGTGTGCGTGCCGCTTTGAGCGTATCAGGCTGGGGTGGAGGGGTCAGGGGTCAGTGGGTGGTCAGTAGTGTGGACAGCTTGATGAAGCTGAGGGGAGAGAGGGGCCTGCTGTTCCCACAGCAGGAGCGCTCAGAGCTGGGCAGGGACAGTGGGCAGGTCCCTGGGGGTCATGCTGAGAAATGGGTTCCACTCACCAAATAGCAAACACAAGGACAGACTGCAGAAATATGGGGGGGAAAGGGATGACGGAGTTTAGTGTCTGTTTCCTGGCTCATAATGGAAGAAATATGCATGTGGCTGATGCATTGAACCTGATATTTCCAGCACAAGCAGTGTAATTTTGATAAAGGCAAAGAGTTTAAGATAAATGGATATGACTGACATTTATTTCATTCAATTTCTGTGTTACTTTCATATGGTTTTAGTTCGGCATCAGAGCTGTGTGATTTTCATTCTGTGGACCTTTTTCACTGACTGTGGTGGTGCATTTTTAATATTGTAAAAGTTTTTTTTTTTTAATAATGTACATTTATAACTCTATACTTTGTGTTTTGCATTCATATCAGAAAACTAGTTAGCGCTGCTGTGTGAGCATTTCTCATACAACGACTGAGGGAGTGATGACAAAGTTTTTGTCATCTTTCTCTCTTTTTACCAATGTAATCAATCTCTTTGTATTTTTCCCTCCTTTGGAAAGTCACAGAAAGATTATTGTGTATTTTTCTTTTATTATTGGGGCAAATGGGAACACTAATCAACTAATTAAATAAAAAAATACAAATTTGTAGTTTCCGTTCACAGCTAAACAAAATGACCCAACTGTGATGACTTCCGCATCTGAGAAACCCTGGAAATATGAAAAAGGTCCATTGTAGATAAGGGCTTAAGTGTTAAAAGGGATAGGATAAGGAATTCTGTAATTTACACAACCTAATGTTGTTTCAAATCTGTGTCTTTCTTTCTTATGTTGAGCACAAATGAAGATATCTTGAAGAACGTTGGCAACTAATCATTTTTTGCCCCATTGACTTCCATTGTATAGACAAAAAATACAATGGAAGTCAATGGCATCTGAAACTAGTTGGTTATCATCAACATTCTTCAAAATATCATCTTTTTGTGTTCAGCAAAAGAAAGAAATGCACAGGTTTGGAACGATATGAAGAGTAAATAATGATAGAATTTTCTTTTTTGGGTGAACGATCGCTTTAAATTACATAAAGATATTTATTTTAATTAGAAATCAGTCACCTCCCTTCCAGCTCTGTCAGTTAGCAGCTTTTGTTACCTACCTGTAAGCTGAATCCATTCCTTACAGGCAGCAGGGGGAATGAATCGTCCCTGAGGGTCTTCAGTGTTTTTTACTGTGTTCCAGTGCACCTGGTAGAGAAAGAGCGAGCGACACACGGGCTTCTGCGGCTCTCTATTACCCCATCTGCTCTCTGAGCCATCACTAACTGGGTGGGAAAGGACTAAATAACGAAATATTTGATTTATCACTGCCGTGCGAATGGAATAAAAATATTATTAGCGGCTTATTGAAGAACTCACGTTTAGGTCGTAAAAGAGTTCCTTATTTAATTATGGGAAAAGCGAGACGGCGCCCCACAAAATGTGATTTTTTTTTACAAATGTCCAAGAATGCTTTCATCTGATTAAAATAAAGCGAAGATTTTTCAGATGCGTGAATGCTGTCACTGGCCCCATTGTGTGCGTGCCGCTTTGAGCGTATCAGGCTGGGGTGGAGGGGTCAGGGGTCAGTGGGTGGTCAGTAGTGAGTTGGTTATCATCAACATTCTTCAAAATATCATCTTTTTGTGTTCAGCAAAAGAAAGAAATGCAGACAGGTTTGGAACGATATGAAGAGTAAATAATGATAGAATTTTCTTTTTTGGGTGAACGATCGCTTTAAATTACGTAAAGATATTTATTTTAATTAGAATCTGAAAAAGGTCCATTGTAGATAAGGGCTTAAGTGTTAAAAGGGATAGGATAAGGAATTCTGTAATTTACACAACCTAATGTTGTTTCAAATCTGTGTCTTTCTTTCTTATGTTGAGCACAAATGAAGATATCTTGAAGAACGTTGGCAACTAATCATTTTTTGCCCCATTGACTTCCATTGTATAGACAAAAAATACAATGGAAGTCAATGGCATCTGAAACTAGTTGGTTATCATCAACATTCTTCAAAATATCATCTTTTTGTGTTCAGCAAAAGAAAGAAATGCACAGGTTTGGAACGATATGAAGAGTAAATAATGATAGAATTTTCTTTTTTGGGTGAACGATCGCTTTAAATTACATAAAGATATTTATTTTAATTAGAATCTAGAAGCACTTCAATGTAATGTCTTCTCATTTTAACTGGAGAGCTCTGTAACTGGAATACTTGTCATGAGTCTGTATTACGAATGAGTCATACTTTTAATGAAAAGTGGTTTGCAAGTCTATTCTAGCATAATTTGGTAGCACTTCTTTGCAAGGATTTAAAAGCATACTGAAACTCAGTAAAAAAAAAAAAAAAAGAAAGAAAAATCCATCTGTTTTGCTATGCCAAAACAGACTGTTAAATAAATAGGCACTGCAAGATGCAAGAATTGTAATAAACAGATTTAATTTATCACTGAAAAAAGCGCAACACTACAATCTGTGTTCAGAATTTCTTAATATGAAGCAGGACTCGTGTGGTTTCACTTTTGATGTTTTAAATACAAACTTTAGAGATTTTGCATAATTTCTGTACAGATACATGAGAACGTGGACATACCACATCTATAACGTATAAAACCACATCAATAAAACGGTGCAAAAAAAAAAGTCCCTGCACATACAAAAATAAATTAATACACTTTATCCAGTCACCAGTCTTGTGGAAAGCCTGTAAGAAAAGATCTGAACACACCGACAGTGCTTTGAAACAGTCCTTCACACCACTAAGTGAATCACAAGTATGTATTTACAACAGAAAAGAGGTAAAAGTGTGCTAAACTAAATCTTATTTATTCTGACAGCTTATTCTTAATCCAATATGCATCTGTAGATTTACAAAAGGAAAAGGGGAAAAACAGGTGTATTTACAAGACCACAAAATCATCAAGTAGGCTTTTTTTTTCTTTTTTTACAACTTCAAACACCAGACACGTTCATCCAAATGTTTACAAGACTCAAAAGAGCTGAGAATTTTGTACAGTAGTATAAAAAACATTTTGCCAGTTGAGCATTACAATATATTACCTTGCACCCAACATGCAACAAATGCAAATAAATAAAAAAGGAATAATAGAAAGTTGGCTTCGAAAATGATCAATGCAAACATTCGAAATCAGTTTTTTTCAGTGTAGTCACTGTACAGGCCGAGATCTCTGGGACTCTCTGGACTGGTATTGCCTGAGCGACGCCGATTGATATCAAATCATTTCACAAAAAAATGGATCAACTGGAGGAAAAAATAAAAAAGGGAAAGGAGAGACTGGCAGCGTCTCCAGCGCGCAGCCCCTCGCTGAGAGCATGGAGATCGGGGCCAGGCACTTGGGTTCAGGGCCTGGTCTGTGTGTCCTGGCTTGAGAGGTAGTTGCTCTTCAAAGAGTGCAGTAGGGTCAGTGAGACAGTTTGTGGACTTTTGGGCCGCCTCCTCACAGGGGAGGCTCAAGATCAGGATGCAGAGAAGGCCTTCATGGTGCACAAATGTCTGATCGCTTCAGCTTTGAAATATTTGACGCCTTTAAATACACAGATGGACAAAAACGACAGGTTTTTAATTGAGATTATCGTTACGTGTTTCTTGTTAAAGGGGTAACAGCGGTGAGCAGATACTGTTCCAGAGGCATCTCCATTGGTCTACGCTTTCTGCCCACAGCGACTCGCACCAGCGTGTCATTTTCAGCACACTGGCAGGGTGAGAGAGATCGTGTGTGTGTGTGTGTGTGTGTGTGTGCACATATGTGTGTGAGCCTGTCTTTTGGCCCCCATGGGATCCAGTACGTTTACAGCAAGTGATTTACTCAAACTCAGTGCAGCATGTTGTTTGCCAGATGGGCATCAAACTGGCAAGTTACATATGAAGGCTGGTGCTGGTGCTGGTGAGGGTTTCGTGCGGTGGGTGAATGTTCTGGTCTTGCTGCTCAGATTGCAAGCCTCTTGGGGTGGGCAGATGAGAGGGATCCATAAGACAGAACTCCTCCAGAACGTTTTCTACATCAGGTCTTTTCCTGTCCTGTCACAGACACAGCCTTCTCCCCCAGTCTCTGAATAAAACACAAGCACAATTTCAATAAGTGATCCTCAAAATCTATAAAATAAAATATAGAAATAAAATAACTTTTACAATAAAAACATTTTATAATAAATATATTTATATATAAATATACATACATTTTTACAAGAAACCTATTTTAACAATGTAAATAATATACAATAATATAAATACAATATTATTAATTAATACTTAAATATAATACAAAATTATAATTATTGTAAATGCAATAAAAATAATATAAGTATTTATAATTATAATAATGCAATTATACTTCATATTATATATGTGTCCCTGGACCACAAAACCAGTCACAAGGGTCCATTTTTGGAAATTATTTATAAATAAAGCTGAATAAATAAGCTTTCCATTGATGTATGGTTTGTTAGGATAGGACAATATTTGGCCGAGATACAACTATTTGAAAATCTGGAATCTGAAGGTGCAAAAAAATATATATTGAAATATTGAGAAAATCACCTTTAAAGTTGTCCAAATTAAATCTTTAGCAATGCATATTACTAATCAAAAATTAAGCTTTGATATATTTACGGTAGGAAATAAAAAAAATATCTTCATGGAACATGATCTTTACTTAATATCCTAATGATTTTTGGCATAAAAGAAAAATCTGTAATTTTGACCCACACAATGTATTGTTGGCTATTGCTACAAATATACCTGTGCTACTTATGACTGGTTTTGTGCTCCAGGGTCACATATTATACTATTAATATTAATAATATAGATTAATATAATTATATATTTTATTTTGACATTTATATTACTATATTAATATGATATAAAATTATAAATATGGTATAATTTTATTTTCTTATAATACTGTAAATACATGCATATATATATGCACATGCACATGCACACACACACACACACACATAAATATATATATGAAAAAATGTCTTATATCATTTTACTAATGTAATACAATTACCACAATTATATATTCATATTAATTCATTCATATATTAATTACATACACACTTAAAATAAAAATACTTCAAAATGAATCCATGAATATTATAAGTTAATACTTTTGTCTGTTTGATAGTTGCAGTACTAACTCCAGTTTTAGGAGTGTTGCTGTCGTTGTGCATGGCGAGGAAGGGGTTTGTAGTGATGGCTGGCTGCGTGGCAGGCAGGAGGCTGTTGATTGGCAGCTGCTGTAGCTGTATGTCATTCTGCTGCTGCTGCTGCTGCTGTTGCATTAACTGATAGAGCAGAGCCTGCTGCTGTTCCTAAACACAGACAGACAAACAGAGTATGATGAGATGTCTAGACAAAGACGGCACACCCACAGACTGCCCACGGACCGTATGATGCATATTGCACAGAATAGTGGCAAGAATTTCCTCAAAATTGCAATTCCAAGCTGCCAGGATGCTGAAATAAACAATTCTGAGGATGAAGCCATTGTGACGTATGAGAGTTTTGTGGCATTGAATCACCAAAAGATAAGGTGTTTTGTATTTTTTGGTCTTGGAATTAATGTATTATTTCAGATTTATTCTGCCCTACATGTTACATTATATATATCATCCAGACAGAATCATCTTGTCTAATAACAAGGATCATGACTAAAATAAGCTGCTGTGTGGACTCTCTTTATGTTTTAAATCACATGAACAATTGTGAATGCTCAAACGAACTCTAGACTCTGTGGCTGTGTAATGGAGTGTGTTGGTGCTCTTCTTACTGGTGTGGCCTGCTGGGAGCTGAAAAGCTGCTGAAGTTGGTGCTGATGGAGGAGGATCTGTCTGTGCTGATCGTTGAAATGCCTTGCCGCACTGCAAACACATGCATAAACCTTCATAAGCAAACTAAATTTTCATAATTTCAAAAACTTCTTGGTCATGGCCGCACAAAAGTATTACATATAAAATAAAACCACTCTGTATACTAAAGGAAAGAGACTGTTATCATAGCTAATGGTGTTTTTTTTGACAAAGGGAGGGCTGTTTAAACTGGACCTTGCTTCGAAAACATCAGCTGTTCAATGTTAAGTACACAATTCTGTTTCAGAGGCAGACGTACAGGTGCAAGGCACGCAGGCAGAGAAACAAAATGAGCAAGTGAGAAAGAAAAAGGTAAAGCAAGCCAATCCTCACCTGGTTTTCACAGTGGTCATGCTGCTGCATTCCAAAGCGCAAGCAAAAGAGAGATCGGGAAGCAGAAAAGATGAAGAAAATATGAATGCAGCACACAATGCCAAGTAATATGGATGAATCTAACGAACATGTCCAAGTCACAATTCATCCAAAAATGTAATTAAAATAATCAATTAAATAAAAAGTGAAATATATCAATACACCTTAATATATATTTTTCTTATATTTGTCCCAAAAAAAAAAGTCTTTAAAACAGCAGCATAAAATATTACGTTTTTTTAAAAAGTCAGTAAGATTTAAGCAGCAAAACCGTTTTTAACAAGAAATGTAAGTCATGTGACACTGATGAATGGAGTAATGGCTGCTGAAAATTTTGCTTTACCATCATAGGAATCACTTACATTTTATATTAAAATAGAAATCTTTCATGATATTCTTTCATAATAAACATTCATAATATTTCATAATAACAATACTGTTTTCACTGATCAAATAAATGTTATATATGGAAGCCCGCTTCCGCCACTGAATAAAAAATGGTAATTGCGAGTTTACATCTCGCAATTCTGACTTTTTCCTTAAAATTCTGTAATACAAACTCGCAAATTTACTTTTTTCGAATTATAAAGTCAGAATGGCAAGATATAAACTCGCAATTGTGAGAAATAAAGTCAAGAACTGTGAGATAACTCACAATTCTGACTTTCTTGCAAATACGAGTTTGTATCTTGCAATTCTGACTTTTTTCTCACAATTCTCAGAATTGCGAGTTATAAAGTCCAATTCTAAAGGGGGAAAAAGACTGATATGTTCTCAGAATTGAGTTTACATCTCACAATTCTGACTCAACTCACAATTGCGTGTTATAAAATCACAAGATATAAACTCACAATTCGGAGAAAAAAAAAAGAGTCTGAATTGTGAGATAAAAAGTCACAATCACATTTGTTTTTGATTTTTTTGTAACATATATAAAACATAACATTTCATTTCTCTTTTGCTATGGGGGTAAAATATGACCTGGCCAATTTCTTGAAGTTTTCATGAGATTTACCAACAAATCCACATCTTCATCAGTCTAAGGCGGCGAGTGCCAGTTCGTACCTGTTACTGAGACTGTTGGACATGGGCAGGGATAAGCTGGTAGCTGCTGAGGGGTGGGGCAAGGGGCTGTTATTCTGGGCCAGGCTGGGGGAGGTTTGGATGACTCCGTTTAGGGCGCCCACGATGCCACTCATGGGCAGGTGGTTCCCCTGCAGAGTGCCCATCAGACCCGTCACCCCGGCTATGGCAGGGAGGGTCGAGTTGGCATTGCCAGGCTGGACGACCACCCCGGCCATGCCGACTCCATTCACCTGCTGCTGGGGGGGACTGTGGGCCGCAGACGGAGGGGTGGAGAGAGAGGACGTGCTACTTCCACTACTATGGCCACCAGACAGGGGATGCTGAAAGAAAGAGAAAGAATAGAGAAAGCACAAGAGCGTGAGAGCGAGAGAGAAAAGAGAGGTCAACGTGAGAGAGGTGCCTCCTGTACCTGTCCAACCAAATAGATATAGCATCATTCCGATCAGATTTATGGTGCAAGTCATTTAAACATCACACAGCCACCAATTATCCCATGAATCTGTCATTACGATGCAATTACTTACTACACCATCACATCACTGCCACACACTCAACTATGTACAGATATACATAATATAACACTTGACTCAACTAAAGAGGTGCTCAGTCCCAGCAGATGGCATCTGCAGAGCAGGGGTAGAGGAAGTTACCTGAGTGGGCAAGGGTTGAGAGGACTCTGTTAAAACACTGCTGCCTAGCTGAATGCTCTTGCTGTGCAGCATGTCTGGAGGAGAGAGAGATTTTGCAACTTGACATGAATGCGGAGACCAGATTAGCTAGAGTTGAGCTGGGAGAGGAGGCTCCGTGAGCAGAACAGAGGGGGAGGAAGGGGGTCTGACGGGGGGTGAAAGGTGGGCTCGTGTGCGTGTATGTGTGAATATGTGGATCGGTGTGGGGGGTGGGATTAGACTGTGACGGTCCAGATGGAGTGTGTGAAAACTGTACGAGTAGACGAGAGGCAGAAGGTAGCGTGTGTCTAACCTGCGTGAGTGTTGCTGGGGTACAGAGGAGAGGAGGCAGTGGTGGCTGTGGTGCTCGCGGGGGTGAAAGGCACAGAGAGCTGAGCGCTCAAGAGCTGCAGTCGTTCTTTCTTCATGGTGAGAGTTCGGATTTGTTCCTCCAGGCGCCGGTTTTCCACCTGCAGCTGGTGCAGGGACTTCAGCATTCCCAGAACTGGACATAAAAGCGCACACACACACACAAAACATACGCATCAAGATTTGACAGCAAAATAGCAGTGGTTAAAAAACCACCGAGATGACCCAATACCACAAGCCCGAAAACTACACTGGCACACATGTGGTTCAAGACCTCCAGAAAAACTACAACGACAGACTTCCGCTCTCGGAGGATCACACGGCACTGATCGGGGGCCAGCAACCCCGAGCGAAATGCAAACCAGATGCAGTGTCAGCAAAACCGCACAACTGGTCTCATATCAGTGGTGAACAGAAACACAACCATCCTAGCGCTTCATGCTCCGTGTGTTTGTCAGACTTCCCCCCGTCGCCAGAAGAGCCTCTATCATAACAGAAACAGCTGCTGCTCATTCACACAATTGTGACACTACAAACCGACCTGCTGCTACTGAAAGATTTGCTACTACCTCTACTTAGCCGATCGAGAAACTACACACAGACAAAATACAGGTAATGAAGCTCATAATTACTGCGGTATTAACCAATGCATAAATTACACACATTATGGGGATATTCAAACCGGCATATTATTTGATTGACATGCAGTAAAATAAGGTTTATATCAGGGGTGCCCAAACTCGGTCCTGGAGGGCCGGTGTCCTGCAGAGTTTAGCTCCAACCCCAATTAAACACACCTGAACCAGCTAATCAAGCTCTTACAGGCATACTAGAAACTTACCAGCAGGTGTGTTGAGGCAAGTTGGAGCTAAACTCTGCAGGACACCGGCCCTCCAGGACCGAGTTTCGGCACCCCTGGTTTATATGATTTAATCATTTTTACTTTAAATAAAATATTTTCAGTGAAAGCAACAGACTCAGGTTTATCACTATGCATCTTGCACCCTGAGATTAAAATGGACAAATTAGACTGAATTTAAATGTAGCCCGTTTTCAATGACCATAATTAATAAAGGCTTTTAGCGTACTAATGAGAAATTAATTTAAAATGCCTTTTGATATCTCTACAACCTTCTTTAGCAAATCTGTAAACCCTCTCAGCTAGACTATGAAATTGTTATAACAGGAATTAATATTGATTTTACATGCAAATTAAAAGTCATCACAATGATGCTAGGGAGTGTTAAGTGGGTTTCCAGGACATTGCTATATGGTTACCAAGTTGTTCTGAGTGGGATTTAGCATGTTGCTATGTGGTTGCTAAGGTCTTCTGCGTGGTTATTTACTGACCCAGGTCAAAAGTGTCAACTTTCAAGTCTCTATGACATTCTGGTCTCTAAATTTGGTTCTGCTTTTTCGTGTTGAGCAGCTAAAAAAGACATTTGACAGGACTAATTTAAAAACATAGGCGCCAAAATTAACACTAGTGCAGGCTTAACACTAGTGCAGAAACAACAGTAGCATCAGCCATCATTAGAACTGACAGTCTCCTATGGCTCAACAACATCCCCAGCAAGACCAGCGCAATGACAACCACACAACACAACACAACACAACCAAACAGCTCTGTGCTTGAGTTGTGGTTTAATACTGTATACGGAAGCAACATGCATCATAAATGTGTAAGAAAGCCTCTCACCATCTCCTTGTGAGCCCTGTTGTTGGAGGAACTGCTGTCCTTCGTTCCATTGCCGGTCCAGCAGCTGGTCGATGCTGGTGGCCACTGGGGGCAACGTATCCGAACCAGATCCGAGCCCCGGAACCAACGGTCCTGACGAGTCATACCGGATATGAAGCCCACTTAACGGAGACCTAAAGTAATTTATAGAAAACAAGTGAGAAGTATATACACATCAAAATTCATCATCATGAATTTAAAATGGAAATGCATGTCAGATCTGTTCACATTAGTACAATTTAATTAATAAATAATCAGCTTTCGCTTATAAATACACACTAGGCTGCGCCTATATTAACAACATAGTTGAACTCCTGGTCTGGCGTCCTGCCTTCAGAGGCAGGCGCGCTGCTCAGTAAAGCCAAACAGAGTTCACAGCTCGTCCAAGTGAGAGAGCCAGGGCCTGCCTCTCTGACACCATAAATCTCAGTACGCTCTTGTTTGGACAGACAGCGATCCGTGTTATTATGAATGCATCCAACCCTGGGCTCTTCATCAGGGCTCTCGGGCGAACGTGAATCTATCTCTGGGGTAATTACGGCTGGGCTGAGATCTGCTCCACAAGGCAATAAATCTCCAGCACAGGACTGTGAAGCCATATCACCCTGCATGGCTGCTCCAGTGCGGATCACAGAAACAGCACATACAGATATTCGCATTTAATCTGACGATGGTGCAGAGCTCTTCTGAATGAGATTCATGGACATTTGGCACACTTTTAAGGCCCATTCACAAAGAATGTGTTTTTTAATATTTAAAAGCTTGAGTCAAATGGCAATTGAATTGGAAAAAAAGGCGTTTTTTTTTTTTTTTTTTTTTTTTTTTTTTTTTAAAGAGTTGACATTTTTAAATTAGGCAACCTGTTTTTAAAACACTTTGTCATGTGCGAGTCACTGCAAAAGATGCAAAATATGAGATCAGCAGACGAACACATTCATCTAGCACATTTACATAGAAAAACAATTGAAAAGCAACACTTTGGAATGCAAAAACCCGTTTAGTGTGAATGGTTTCTTGTACCTTCAGTATTGAAAATGCTGCCATGCAAACACACAAACTGACAAGCATGAGCTTATAGCGATATTGTGCTAAATGCATTTCTCGCACACATTTTGACAAAGAAAAAGACAAAACTCATCTAAATAGTCAAATACAGCATTTGAAAATAATGTTTTATATTAATACTAATATCCATACATTAAATATACTAAAGCAGCAATGAAAGTATACCAAATAAACCCACTTCTTAAATAAAGTGATCAAAATCAAATCAACATACCTTTTCAACCAAATATATTATATCCAGGAGGAATTTTTGTGCAGTATATATATATGCTTCCATATAAATCCGTTTTATATCCTCAATCACAGCACAAAAAAGGCCACATCTCAGGTTACAGAAAACTAATGCAATGTTTCTTTCTGCGTTCGAAGACATCGCCGCCACGTCGAACTCTGAAGCCGGTTTGTAACTGCGATATGGACAACAGCTGAGTGTTCAAAATGCCTGCTGTTCGGAAGGCGAGCGCACAAGGGAGGAAACGGAGTGAGTGAATGAGTGTGTTCTGTGGGGGAGGGAGGGAGGGCGAGTGAAATCTCAGAGCCTGGAGGAGGGGAAGTCTAGCTCTGGAATGTAAATAGGACTTACCGAGGGGAGAGGTTTGTCTTTGGCGAGTTTCCTCTTCTGGAGAAGCCGAGAGCTCCGTCTCCAAGCTCCTGATCTGAAAGGTAAACAGAGAGCAGTCGATAAGGAGCCGGTGTGAAGATGTGGGCGTTAGAGGAGCCTGGGAAATGCAGGGACGGGCAGCTCGATCCAAAGTGAGCCTGGTAGCCATCAGATCTTCCTCACAGAAATCCTTCTAGGGGCACAGAGTGGTCTCTCTGGCGGCTCAGCTTGCACACTGACACCACTGAGTGTGTCACTGAGTCACCTCTCTCTCTCTCTCCCCCTCCCTCCAGCTCATTCTTCCCCATGGAGGCTCCCATCACCCTGCCTGCAGGCCCCATGCCAGACACTGCTTTTCATTTTCTGCAGTGAAAGTAATGAATCACATATGCGCCTCGCCAAGCACAACCCTCTCCCCTCCTTTCTCTCTCTCTTTTTTTTTCTCCCCACCCCCCTCCAGTCACAGTTAGCCAATCCCATTTTTCTCTTCCTCCCTGCTTCCTTCCCCCCTTCTTTTCTGTTCTTTTTAACACTTTCCAGCCCACTACCACCTCGAGCGCAGGCTGGCTCCAGTGGGGGTGTGGCCACATCAGTACCCAAGGTCTGGTCTGACTTATTATGGTGCTGACCCCTTGCCTGACCCTGGATCAGCCCCGGGCTGCAGTGCAGACTGGACCTGAAAGCATCGGGTATCACTTTACAAAATAAAAAAAAGACAGAATGAACAGGGACTGAACGACACAGTGGAAACCTATGAGGAGCAACAGGTGACCAGCGTTGAGAGGAAATCACAAGCACTTTGCCAAAGTAAACAAGCCTTGTTTCACAGCCTCACGGATCCCATTATACATTTTTAGACTAGGGTTTTTTTAATTGACCAATGTCAATATCTAGACAACAGGGTGGCCAATGGCTGATATATACCTGACGTTTATTAAATGACAGCAAATTAGATGAGGTGTAAGAAATATGCTCAATTTTGATAAAATATTTATTAAAAAATGCACTAAAAACAATAATGAATATATTATTACCATTAATTTATATGATACATTATACAAGATATTATAACTGATTTACATTTAGAATACATTTATATAATTTTTTTATATTATAACTATAAAGTTATACGTACGTCTGTGTGTACACAACCACAGACAACCATTCAAAGTTTCTTATGCTCTCCAAGGTCGCATTTATTTGATCAAAAATACAGTAAAACAGTAATATTATAAATTATTATAATTAAAATTGAAAATCTAAAATATATCTTAATATATTTTAAAATGTAATTGCAAAGGCAAATTTTCTGAATTTTCTGTAGCCATTACTCCAGTTTTCAGTATCACATGATCTTTCAGAAATCATTGTAATATGCTGATTTGGTACTAAAAAACATTTCTGGTTATTTTCCAATGTTGAAAACAGCTGTGCTTATTGATATTTTGGTGGAAACTGTTAATATTTTTTTCAAGATTCTTTGATGAATAAAAAGTTCAAAAGAACAACATTTATTTGAAATATATCTTTTTTAAACTATTTATAAATGCCTTTACTGTCACTTTTGATCAATTTAATACATTCTTGCTGAATAAAAGTATTAAATACTTTAAAAAAATTCTTACTAAACTTCAGAACGAATGTATCTCAAAATGTCGACATATAAGCCAAATCGTTAACCTGTTCAATATATATGCCCTACTTTATAAGTGCTGCGCTGTAAACTAATGCCAGACAAGAGCTGGGCTTATGCTAAGAGCATGCAAGCTTTCCAGTCTCGAGCGGTGGTCTCTTTAAGGATGGATGTTCTTCCTCCTATTGTTAGTCAAATGACCCCCTGACCTCTGTTTGAGGAGGAGGCCATGACTGATCCATTATTCCTCAAAGGCTGTGTTCCCCTTTTTTCCTCTCTCTCTCTCTCTTGCTTTCAACTGGTCCCCACCCCAACCCCCATGATGGGGTCCTGCAAGCCCATTTGCTCATGAGCGAGACCCCAGGGATTAGGCAGGGTCCGGGGAAAGTGTTGAGTAGTCCGGGATGAAGGGAAGAAGGCGGGAGAGGATGAGTGTAAGGTAAGCCTGCCTCCTAAACCCAGGGCAATTCAAAATGTCGACATATAAGCCAAATCGTTAACCTGTTCAATATATATGCCCTACTTTATAAGTGCTGCGCTGTAAACTAATGCCAGACAAGAGCTGGGCTTATGCTAAGAGCATGCAAGCTTTCCAGTCTCGAGCGGTGGTCTCTTTAAGGATGGATGTTCTTCCTCCTATTGTTAGTCAAATGACCCCCTGACCTCTGTTTGAGGAGGAGGCCATGACTGATCCATTATTCCTCAAAGGCTGTGTTCCCCTTTTTTCCTCTCTCTCTCTCTCTCTTGCTTTCAACTGGTCCCCACCCCAACCCCCATGATGGGGTCCTGCAAGCCCATTTGCTCATGAGCGAGACCCCAGGGATTAGGCAGGGTCCGGGGAAAGTGTTGAGTAGTCCGGGATGAAGGCGGGAGAGGATGAGTGTAAGGTAAGCCTGCCTCCTAAACCCAGGGCAATCCCCTCTGTGTCATCACTGCGGTCATTGTGCAGATTAATGAAATGTTTGAGTGGTAGCATGCTTCATTTAACAGGTATGCACACTTTCAGCTTTCTGTCCTGGGGAGTTTTGTTCTCTGCCTCTCCCTCTCTCTGCGACCCGAGGAGGTTAGGAGGGGGGATACAGCTGACCACACATTCCATATGCACAGGGGAGCGGAGAAAGAATGGGAGGATGAGGAGAAATGGGAGAAGAAAACACGAAGCAGGAGGAATGGATTTAGAGAAAGTAATCCTGCGCCAGTGGGAGGTACCCTAGGGCTGAGCGATTAATCGAAATCGAATCAAAATCGCGATTTGAGACGTTGCGATTTCCTAATCGTAAAGCCTGTGATGTGGACGCGATATTACTCTGTTCCAGAGCATATGCATGACTGCCAGCCTTGAGTTGCAGTCTTACTAACCAATAGAGTGAGCGCACCTCCGTTCTCCTCAATCAGCACTGCTCTAGCCAACTGCGTAAACACCCACCATTAAAAAAAAAACGGAAAGCGGGACGGGAGAGAGATAGAGTGGGATTATGGCATCTACTGGGTCAGATCGATAGTTAGGCAAATTAAAACTAAAGAAAACCGTATGCAATTTAAGCTTCGAAATGACAGACAACGAACAAAAGAGTAAAAAAAGAGCTGCGTCACAGCGCATATCAAAAGCTCCCGTATCGGTTCTGTTTTCAGTACTGGAGAATAAAAGATACATCACGGACGAGCCGTTCATGCTTGCCGCACTCACGCAGCCTGTCTTGTAATGCTCGTTTATACTCGCACCCGGCTCCACAAGTCTCCACGAGCGCATCTGGCAGTATGGATGAGGCTTGACGCACGCGCGCAACCTGTGTCAACTCGCGCCTGGCTCCGTGTTTAAAACGAATGTAAATTCAGTCTAACTGGCTTGCTAATTTCACTTGGATGAAATAAAACATTCAGCACATTTTCCACTTTCTCTTAAAATCCCAAATACTTAAAATGAATAAATCAGCCTATGTAACATATGTAATACTTTAATAACTGACTTAAGATATACAGTTCTTTATTTATAAAAAAATAAAAGATGATAAAACACCATGTCAGCTGTATTTCCTGTGAGCCAGGAGAATTGGCTGAGCCAGCAACAGCAGATCCACAGCCCTGAACAACATACAGACCATGTGCTTCTGCAGCTAATTATTTAATCCAATTAAGCCATTTCCCTAATAATGGTTGGGATTGGTTGCGGTGTTACTTCTGAGGTAGCAGCATATGTGCAACAACAAACTTGGTGCATGGTGTAAACCACAGAATGGTTCACATGATTTGCACTTAAATAACACTTTCGCAGTGGAACAATGTTGTAAATAGCAGGGAACTGTTGGAAAAGTTGAAGAATTTTTACTCAGATTTTACATAAATATAGATGATTACTTGTTTATTCCAATTTACAGACGACACTACCATTGATTCAGCTAGGATGCAGTATATTGATCAAAAGTAAAAGAAAATTCATTTATTAGAAAAGGTTTCTATTTCAAATAAATGTTGTTCTTTTGAACAACAACAAAAAAATCCTGAAAAACTGTTTCACATCTTCCACAAATCGCTTAAGCACTGTTCAAAATTGGTAATAACAGTAAATGTCCCTTGAACACCAAATTAGCATATTAAATGATTTCTGAAGGATCATGTGACATTAAAGCCTGGAGTAAATGCTGCTGAAAATTCAACTTTGTCATCACAGGAAAAAATTACATTTTAAAATATATTAAAATTAAAAACAGTTAATTTAAATTGTAATAATATTTCACAATATTAATGTTTTTACTGTATCTTCCATCAAATAAATATAACCTTGGTCCTTTTGAAAAAAAAAAAATGCATAAAGACATGGACTTCATACAACAGATTCTAAATATTCGGTCCTTTCACTCACTGCTTATTTTCATGAAATCAATAAATTCTTTCCTTTTCCTTTGTTCGCTTTATCTACATCAAGGCCTTATCTGATCCAAACAGGAAATAACACTAGCTGAAATTACAATGTATTGGATTTCTTGCTCTGTTCCTATAGAATAATGTCTTTATGTCTAACTTAAAGATTTCTGACCATACTGGACTAAAACATAGGAAATCACACCTAAAAGTGACCAGTGAATAGACAACCATACAATGCCAACGTTTAAACCAACCTTGAAAACATGCTTCCCATTATGGATCTTCTGCTAACAACTAAGGATATAAAAATGTGATTTATGGTCCAAAGACATGTAGCAAAAGGTACTTTAATCCTAACCGTGATATTGAATTTGAACTGCCTTAACTATATATATTAAAAAAACTGTTTAATAACAAAAAAAAAAGAATTATTATTAATTATATAATAAAAAATAAAAATAATTAATATAAATGGAATGGCTAATATTTTTCTCAAGTCATTTAGGGGGGGGGGGGTTACTACTAAAAAAAAAATGTATATCCTACATTCCCCTGGCCCCTCACGGCCCCCCAGGCCCTCCCCATTCCTCAGACTCCTCTTTCAGGCCGTGTGGAGAGAGGAGGGAGCATGACCAGTGTGAAGAGAACCCCTCATCCCACTACACAGCTCTCTGTCCAGCCTGTCAGCCCTCATCCCGTCAGCGAGCCGGGCTCAATGCGCCCGCACAGGGAAAGGAGGGACAGCTGGATTGTTTGAGGCTTAGGGCTCTCAGCACCATTGTGGAGGTTAACGAAGAGTGGGACAGAGGTGGGCCTAGGGGGTGTGCGCTGGGGTCGAAGGTCACTACTGCCCTGCTTGCAACCACTGAATTTTTTCATCCGACCATTCTTCAATCCACAAAGGGAGAGTTAGGGATGGAGAGGAAAAAAAAAAAAATTGCAAACACCTCAGGGACAGTCATGCTGACGGAATAAAGGATGATTGTTTGCACAGATTATATTTGCTAAAACACCATGTTATATATCTAATAAAAATTCATTCTATTCCTGACCCCGGGCATAGTTTTAAAAACGTCACCTGTTTACTGATCAGCTAATTACAACCTAGTGAAGAAAAAAGCTCATTGTATTAAATCTCCCATACCATAAAGCTTAGGGACTAATGGGGGATATATATTTGCAAGCGTGCGTAAGGAGGGGCTCGACTGCTGGGAGCCCTGCAGCATTAAGGCCATCAGTGGGTCTACTTCATCTCCTAATGTAAGGCCACCCTGCCTGCAGAGAGGGCAGATCTGCACAAACAAAGCCCTGTTGCCTGGAAACGACCGGTTGCTACAGCAGCGCAAGTCAAGACAAAGATGCTCAGGAGAGCGGCAGAGACGGTGCTCAGTCTCTAGTGCGCTTCCAAAGGGCCCATTTGGAGCTGTGCTGGGAGCCTGTAAGAATGACTTGACTTTATTATTGTCATCTGAACACATGCAGTAGGGATTCTAAAGTCACTGATTCATGAAGGTATTTGTAACATTATGCATTTATTTAATATTTCCAATAAATGCTGTTCTTTAAATGTTTCTTGAGCACCAAATCAGCATACTACAATGATTTCAGAATAGCTACTTTAAAGCTGTTTTCACTGTATTTTTCATTCAATTAATGCAGCCTTGGTGAGCATAAACATTTTCTAAACAAAAACATTTAAAAAAAAATCTTACCAACTTCAAATTCCTATACATATATAAAATTACTGACTCAAAGCAATAATAAAATAGCCAATATAAAAGCAATTACGGCACTTTTCTCACAGTTTCATTCTGTTTATTTGACCACACATACTGCTCTGACTAGCTAATGCAAACACAATCGAAACACCCTGACGTTCATCCGTTAAGACCATATACTTCAGCAGCCTAGTCATAAATACCCTAAATGCCTCAAAACACTGTCTTTCAAGAGCTGAAAAATTAGGTCTGAAGTGACGAACTTTACTTCTCACACTGACATGTTATGTACCATTGTGGCCCTAACACGGCCTCCTTCATACTGTTAATATACTGCTGCAATTATATAAATATTGCATTAGCACAAACCCTGGCACTTGCGAACCAAATTAATTTGTTCTGTAAAAAGAAAAAATCCTGTCACAAAGAAAAATACGAGTTACTTAATACATAAATAGCTGCAGCCAACGTTTACATCTGAGCCTTTTAGGAGTTAATTACTATTTGTGCCATGAACATGCTCAAACAGCATTTATCTTGATAAAACTGGAGCAAATTAGCACACAGTACAAAGATGATGAGTATAATTCTATTTAATTGGTTAATTTTGTGAGAGATGATGTATAAAGGATACGTGTGAGCTGAAAGCTCTGTGCAATTATCAGTACAATCTTTCTTCGCAGATGTTGCTTTTTTTAAATAAAATCTAGGTATGGACTTTTTGCAGATATACACTTCTGTTCAAATGTTTGGTGTTGGTAAGATTTTTAAATGCTCACCAAGACTGCATATATTTAATAAAAACAGTAATATTTTGAAATATTATTACAATTTCAAATAATCTATTCCTGTGATGGCAAAGGTCATTACTCGAGTCTTCAGTGCCACATGTTCCTTCAGAAATCATTCTAATATGCTTATTTAGTGCTAAAGAAAACCATTCTTTTTCATTATCAATGTGTAAAACAATTATGCTGCTTAATATTTTGTAGAAATAGTAATATGTTTTTTTCAGGATTCTTTGATGAACAGAAAATTAAAATGAATAGCATTTATTTGAAACAAATATTTACATGTCTTTACTGTCACTTTTGACCAATTTAATGCAACCTTGGTGAACAAAAGTACTAACTTCTTAAAAAAAAAAAAAAAAGACCCTTAAATTTTTTAACCGCATCATATTTGCAAATGAATCTCTTAATTTAAAAGTTTTTAAAATTTTAATCAAAACAAAAACACCTCGTACAAAGATTTAATTTAGCCTGGAGTCATTAATTTGCCCATTTCCACAAAATCAAACCAAATGGGTACTGAAATAATCAAACAATCACATACAGAGTGAGCACTGAGCATGAATACATAATAAGGTCCATTAAACACTCACATGTGTGGATGAGGTGCTGGTGAACAGGGCGGTCGGGGGCAAAGATGTGAGAGTGGGCATGGAAGTGACCACTGACTGATGAGCAGGTAACTCGGAGTTGGATCCGGACAGAGACCCTCCAAACACAGCACTGGGCAATGGGCAGGCTACATCGCTACTGCTGGAGTACACACCTGCAAAAAGACAGCAATTACAGCAAATGATTAACGTAAAACAGCACACTTTCAATGATAATCACTTGGCCAAACAGTCTCTTTTGATTCCCACCGAGTCAAAAATAACATTGTCTTGTTTATCAGGAGATCTGACATAGCAACTGGGGGATGTGAAACAAATCAACGCAGGTTATGACCTGTAATCTCGTGGTAAACGCAAAGTTTTAATAGCTGTAAGGGCAACCTCTGTCCTCCAATATACCTTCACTGGTTATCTATCTATCTTTGCCGCTGCCCCTGAGATGAACTTTGTGGACTTTGAATGGCCTGTCTGACCAGGCCCTCATCACAGCAGACCTCGAGAGCGAGCACAAAGCATTTTGGAGTCCTCTCAACATGCACTCTGCACCGGCCTCCCAGTGACCCAGAAAACAGTTCCCTGAATCTGACGACTCACTATTTCTTCTGTAAAAATGACTGAGGGCTTTTCAGGCGGGGCTGGGGAGGAGTGCGGCCCATTCATATTTATGTGCCGGTTCATGACATGCACGCGGTTTGTTGTTGCTGTTGTTTTATTGATTTTTTCTCTCTCCCTCCTCCCCTGCCACCATCTCAAATAAACCCAGCTGATGGCCCAGGCTGACCCGTTGCAGGAACGAGAGAGGCCCCCTTGCCACACAAAGGAATGAATGGCTCGCGGCAGTCTACATTCACTGGTGAAACAAGGAAACATTGTTGGGCGGAGAAGTACCACGTGAAGCATTTACAGTACCAAGCTTCAAACTCCACATAGGAAAGATGTAATAGAGAAAGGAAAGCTTAGACATCGCTGTGTCACGGTATTCCATTTAATCCCAATTGGTTTTACTTTTGGGAGATTTTGGGAGACCAACAGCTAACTTGGCTCATTAATGATTAGATTAATCTTTAAATCATCATGTTGCTCTGGTAATCTGGTTAATAATTAACATTTCAGAATAGGTCAACCAAGGGAGCATTTGATTAGAGGTTACTAGACATGAACGACCAAACAAAGCAAGGACAAGGATCCTGTTATCTGGTGCTGATCGAACGGGCCCGATCGATCAGGACTTAACATCTCCTCCTGAAACCCCCCTTATCAAATCAGAGGAAGAGAGGGGAAATTTCAAATTAGATTAGCCAGCATTTCAAGTCAAACCCCTGTCTCCTCTCTCAGCAGAAAATCCATGCGAGTTCAGAGGGAGGTTAATGACGAGGCTCAGAACCTGATAAGGATCCTCGGCACTTTCCTTACGGACGGAGAGAAGAAAGCAGGGACTGATTCGAGGTATTGTTGCACGCCGGCAGAACATATTTAGGCCTTTGACGTTGCAGATGTTTTTAATTTAAATGTGCTATCTTGAGCAGTGATCGATGTCTTGAAGTGTTTTGTGTTGGGTTACTAGCTTCAAGATATGTTCTATCACAAGCGAACAGACGGGCTTGACGTTTCTAAAGCATGCCGGCCGAAAGTGAAGATAAGTTACAGCGCATGGCTGCAGTTAATGCAGCAAACGCATGCTTTGCTCATGAATGTTTATTCGAATGAACAGGACGGCAGCATAGTTTCATCCCGAGCAATAAATCAAGGCTTAAAGGGATAGTTCACCCAAAAATGAAAATTCTGTCATTAGGGGCTTTCACGCCTCCTAGTTCTAGGAACTAGTCAGCAGGGTCGTTCCTAGAGAACCAATTTCTCCCTCGGGCCGTTTTCCTGGTTGCATTTGCACCGGCAGCAGGAACTCTGAAGCGGCCGACAGCGACGTCTTTATTCACAACATTTATGAACGTCAATAACCAGAGAATGGAGGACACGTGATCTGAGCTGTTTTTGTAGTGTGTCATGGGTTTTGTGATAACGGAGATGGAATGTAAACACAATTTAGGCGAATTAATGAGCATGAAAATCTGACTAAAATCTCCTATGACAACTTGCAGTGTTATCATTGAAGAACATATCACTGCAGACAACAGGTAAATGCCATTATCGCTGTTTCCCATGATCGTGGAGAAAATATTTTTACATGGCCGGGTAGCTGGTGTTTTGTATGCGTTTTGCCAATCAGTGTACACTTATGTGACTGATAGTTCCTATAGAACTGTTTTAGACCCTGCTCTGAAGTAGGAGCTAATTTAGTGTCTTCAAACGTTTCTAGAACTGAAAGCCCCTATTATTTGACTTTAGTCTGTGAAACAAAAAAGCTATTCTGAAAAATGTCTCAATGTTTTGTGTCCATATAATGAAAGTCAGTGGGGTCCAAATGTTGACTTTCAGTGTGTGGATTAAAAAAAAAAATGGTTAAAACATACTTCAATATTAACTCGTGTTCAAAAATGGAATGGAAATCATACAGATACACTGTAACATGTTTTTGCATTTAAAAACGCAAGACGCAGGACAATGAAAAGGAAAAAGCAAGGTCTTGAGACATGCATTTTAAATCGTTGAACTTATTATAACTTGATTCCCGCATTTTTAGAGCGCTAGAGTATGTTTTCATTCAAAAACAAAAGAAAAGCAGCTCCAAATCGGCCTGTTTGTGTGAACAGCCTTCAAAGGCTGGAATACACTGCACAACTTTTGCCCCGATTTGCAGTCTGGAGGAGTCGACGCTAGTTGCTGAAAGTCAGAACCAGCCTGCAGATTTTGGGCAGTCAGAGTTGACATTTCACAGAAATATTTGTCATGCATCTCCTAGCAACAAGGCACATGTTTCTACGTGAGTTTGTTGTGTTTGGAATAACTTCAAAGTCTGGTAGTGTGTGATCATCAGTCCTTTAGTGTATATTGCCCAGTTGTCTTCTGCAACCCTAGTGTTTTCAAATCTGTTTAGGATTTAAACGTTGTACAGGAGCATTCCAGCCTTTACAGAACATTGCACTCATCTGTCTCACCAAGCTTTTCTTTCCAATTTCAGAGGGAAACCAATAAGAATCGTTCTCCCCCTCTCCAAATAACACCCTATAAAGTCCTACACCCGGCCGGAGCTGAGATGGATGTTTGCATTTAATAATAGCCTCCCCCTGTTCCCCCTGATAAACCAGCCATCCAACAAAAAAAAAAAAGAGCTGGAAGCCGTTGAGGGAGGGTGAGACAGATAGATGAGGTGGAGCACTCTGCTGTAGCCCTGCATTAGCCATGGCTAAATATTTACAGTCCAGCCAAAGGCCAGGAACAGGTGAGGGCAGGGACGGGTGGGAGAACGAGTCCCAAACAAACACAAAAAACCCATATGGCCTTGAGAGAATGGACAGGGTGATAGTGAGATGGTACATAGTAGGGAATGACAGAGAAAAAGATACACCAGAGTTTTCAAGTTCTGATCAGAAGGAAAGGAACAACAAAACAGCCAGATGGTTGCCAAGTAACAGGGCAGCACCACAGATAAGGTCCCTTTAACATTATACCTGCCATGCATACGCGGAGCACTTATGTCAAGGGTGAGATTTAGCAGGTGAGAGAGAGAGGAAGTGCCTGCAAATGAGTGAGAAAGAATGGTGTGACCATGTATTTAGGTGTTCTGGCTCCAACTCAATGAGCGGGAAAGCCAGTAGGGGTCAGGGCATTTCTACACACTATCTCAAGCCGGCTCACTCTAGATCCCGAGAGAAGACAACGTCAGGGAGGAACAAATAAAAAAAATGTAACGAATTGCCAGTTACAGGCTCCTTCCCTCCTCCAGCTCCCTCGGGCTCAACAGATTAATGTGCATCTCTATGGAGATTCAGCGGGCCACTCTAAGCTCTCAATCAGGTAGGAATGAGGAAGCACTTTAGAGAGCACCTCCATCCACTTTTACCCTAATGAGCTTCAGCACAGACCAAAACAACATCGTGCTGGTTCCCAGGCTTCTCTTCGAGAAGAGCGGACCTCAAATGGATTTCTTTTATTCTTTTTAAATAAACAGAGATGGAACAAATTGCGATTCAGGGAAAGATTAAGATGAATTACATGAATTGAACTGAATGCAATATTGAAAAGACCCTCCATGTGTAATTTCTGAAAAATAATTATGTCAGCCAATTTATAATAGCCTATGTTTGTAGGCTTCCGTGCACAATAAATAAGAGTCCATGAAAAAAGAAAAAGCTGGGAAATATTAGGAGAGAATTTTTAGATTTATTAGTATGTAACATTAAAAAGAAAAAAAATTCAGTTATGGTAGACGTCATATGTAATTTGAAAGGAATGAAAATGAGGATGTGGAAGATAGAAAAAAAAACAACAGCAACAACATGGGCAACAAAAGGACCTCAAAGTCAACAAGAAATAATGTTTACAACCCTTCCTACATCTGTACTATGATGCATTTCAGAATGAAATTAACTTGACTGGATAAGCTAAAGTGGTCTCAATATGGCAGATGGTTAAAAAAACAAGAAAGGTTGGTGACGTCAGCTGAAAGTCACTTGAAAGCAAGGATGAAAACGTGTTTTCTTTGGAATAATGCATACTAGGGATGCACAACACAGCAGTACCAAACTGGTTAGTTTTATTATCAAATAGTTTTTTCTTTCAGTCCATATATGTACATGCCTAAATTCATATTTAGCATTGAAAACTACTTTTCGTTGATCGTGATAAATAATTTAGCTCAAAAACAAAATCACGAATATTAATCACAGTTGTTTTCATTTGAGAATTTTTTTTTTTTTTCCGATTTCATCAGTATTATTGCATTTTCACGAAAGCTCTAAAAAAAAAAAAACACTAGGAAGAAAATGTATCCATCCAAGTGAAAAATTCTGACTGGGGATTTCAACTCTTTACATCTGGCAACCGCAAGCATTAAAACTAGTTGAGGCTTATCATCAATGCAAGATAACAAAAATGTCAAATAAAAATAAAAAGTTTCAGGATAAATAACCAGCAAGCCAATATTGTAGACGACTATGCTTAATCGCGAGAAGCATACAATTGTGATCACAATTAAAATGATTAATCGTGCAGCACCAAGTAATTCCTATGCCCCGTTATTGTTATTATCTATAATAGGAAAATATACATTGTTATTAGCGAGAATTTTATTATATGTGCATCACAAAATTCACAAAAAAAATTTAATTTTATTTTGACTTTAAGACTGTAGACCATAGCAAAACAAATAAAACATGGACAGCATTTACCCTGACTAAGATCTGCTCACCTGGTCCAGCAGGTGGGGAGCTGACAGTCATACCCTGTAAGCTTCCATTCCTGAGGAGGGATGGGGACTTCTGAATCCCCAGACTGCTGCTACCAGCACCCACTGCTCCCACACCTCCGGTACTGCTGACTGCACTCCCGCGGCAGGCCATAGTGCTCAAGGAGGATGGCGAGGGGGAAGTGGATGAGGGCATTGTGGAGCCATGCTCTCCCGTATCAGTGGTTTTACTGTCCTGGGTAGTGAAGCACGGTCCATACCGGTTCCTCCAGTTCCCTCTCTTCTTCTTCTTCACGCCATCCTCGCCAGTAGATGAAGATGATGTTGCAGAGGAAGAGGATGAGGAGGGCTGGGGTCGTTTGTAGCCTGCTGAGGCCAGGCCTCCCAGCTCTCCGGACGGGTGACAGTTTTCGTAATGCTTGCTTGCGCTTGAGCTTTGGGGGAGGGACATCATGCCGAAGGTGTTAAGAGCCACCATGCCTTCAGAGGCTGTGCTTTCTGCACCACCCTTCATGTGGCAACGGCTAAAGGATGGAGGCGTGTACGAGTCGCCAGCCCTAAGGCTGGGATCAGAGAAGCTGAGGAAATCAGATGTGGGCTGAACCACAGACCCACTAGTGGCTGATTTACTGCTGCTGCTGCCTAATAAAAGACCTGCAAGAGAAAAAGGAAGACATAAAGATGAAAGCGCACCTTAATATCACAACCACATTAACAAAGAGACAGCATAAACCACCAGAGAGGTGGCATGTGGTCATAAAACTAAGACCTTTTGTAGCCACAATTTTGTAAATGCACACAAACACAGCACAGCTGGAATGCTAAACCGAACAACAGCAGAACAATCATCTTTACTAAGCACTTGTAACACTGTAGCACATAAACCAATCAATTTTAGTGCAAAATAGTTCAAAACTTCTGCCTTATTATATACTATCATCAAAAATATGGGTTCAGTTTTTTTATATATTTGAAATGTGACTTATTCCTGTAATGGCAAAGCTTTTCAGCCATTACTCCAGCTCTACATGATCGCTCAGAAATCATTTTAATATGCTAATTTGGTGTCAAAGAAACATTTCTTATTATTATAAATGGTGAAAACAGTTGTGATGTACTTTTTGTGAAATCCATGATACATATTTCCTTAAGATTTTTTAATAATTAGAAAGTTCTAAAGATCAGCTTTCACTTGAATTAGAACTCTTTTAGAACATAAAATTTTTTTTTTGTCCTGATCTGTTAACTTACTCAAAACTACAATGACTTGGCTTGAAAATAACATTTTAGATATGCACTTTTACATGTAAGGTGTAAATGTAAATGCATGAAATACGGTGCACACATACTTCAGCTGAAAATGACACAGAAATGTTCATTTCCAGAAACATGCATACAAACATTTTTAAGAACTCAGCACATGTTTTAAATTAGATTTTAAAAAGATTCTCCTTTCCTTATCAAGGACCCTCTTATTTATCATTGACAATGAATACAATTTAAAATTATTCTACGAAAAAACCCAAAAAGGCTGGCTAAAATCTCTACAAAACCAGAAAATAATCTACAGAACCTGAAATCAAGCAATGCCATCATCCTCCACTCCTAGGTGGGCCAGTCAAACTTGCAGGAAGCCAAACAATCAGGTAGGCTATGTAGGCAGGCAAGAAGGGTGACCCAGATCTAGGTGTTCATTCAGACCCTCCCCTCAGGCAAGGACTCGTCCTTTAACCAAAGCCAGAGAAACAACTCCGACATGCATGTTTTTACAGCTGTGGCAGGAGGCTGCTGAGGCTTTACTTCCCAATTTTACTACACGGTCTATCCCTTGAGCCTCCCGCTAACATTAAAACACGCACAGAGCTTGCATGCCAGTTAACACGTCTCGAAGATAAAGCAATGTCACACAAACAGCTGCCATAACCAACAGATAAGCAGCATTCTGTATTCTTTCCAAAACACATCCAGGAAGTTCTGCTATATCTTATCGCTGGATCCTAGATTAAACACTGCTATAAATTTCCTGCCATTTCTCTCTGCAAAAAATGTGTGAAAAAGAGCTGAATATCAAGATCTTTTGCCTGCATCAATGAGAGGAGCTTTAATTACATTATTACCAAAACCAGGAAAAACTAACACAAAGTGTGAAAATATGCAGCCAATTAGTTTGTTAAATTCAGACACAAAAATATTAAGTAAAGTTATGGCTAAGAGGTTAGAAGGTACACTATCAAATTTAATAGGAGAGGATCAAAATGGTTTTATACAACGTAAGGCAAACATTTCACAATGTTCGAAGAGTCCTAAATATTCTTTATGAACAGAGGGGTGAACGAGATACTGCTCTACTATCATTGGACGGCGAAAAGGCCTTTGATCGGGTTGAATGATCTTATTTGTTTGATATATTGGTCAGATTTGGTTTTGGTGAAAGGTACTGTAGGTGGGTTAGATTACTTTATAATAGTTCTACAGCAGAAGTGTTGACAAATAATATTGTTTCAAAACCATTGTAGGTGGGTTAGATTACTTTATAATAGTTCTACAGCAGAAGTGTTGACAAATAATATTGTTTCAAAACCATTTAGCGTATCAAGAGGGTGAAGACAAGGTTGTACTCTTCTTTTTGCCATCTCCATCGAGCCTTTTGCAATAGCAGTAAAAAAACATGTGGAATTAACAGGCATTAAGATTGGACAGATAGAACCTAAAATTGCGTTATTCGCTGATGATGTCATTCTTTTCCTAAAGCATCTTGATACATCAATACCTGCTTTATTAGATCTTATCAGTACATTTGGCAAAAATTCTGGATACAAGATTAACAATTCTAAAAGTTCTATTCTATATCTAAATGAGATTGACAGACAGCAACCTAGTAATTGTGTTGCAACCTTCAATATAGTTGACCGTTTTACATACTTGGGTATAAAAATTGTACCAAAACTAGGAGATGTTGTGCAAGTAAATTATGATCCACTTCTTGAAAGTGTTAGTAGCTCTATAGAAAGATGGATATCCTTACCCATATCTTTAATTGGTCGAATAAATATTTTGAAAATGAATATTGTCAATATATTCCAGAACATTCCTCTGCCTCCCCATAAACATCTATTTTAACGACTTAAAAAAATGTCCACTAAATTCATTTGGAATAACAGATGTTCCAGACTCCGTCTGACACTTCTATATTTGCCATATGACAGATGAGATCTACAGTGTCCTACTTTTCATTGGTATTATTGGGCTGTGCAACTTAGAACAATTATGTTTTATTTTTTATCTCAGGACTGCCCGTCTTGGGTGGATATGGAATCGGCTCCATTAATTCTGGCCTGCCTTTAAATTTGTGTTTATATTCATCAGAATTGAAAGATATTAAAAAAATGTTTCCAATCCTATAGTTAGAAATATGATTGCCGTGAAAAAATATTTAGGTGCCTTCTACCATATATCTTGTTTTAGTCCCATTTGGGGCAAAAATTTAAACCAGCACTGTAAAAAAATGCTACAGTAAAAACCTGTTAAATGGTTAATTCCCCTACTATATACGGTGAAAAACTGTATTGGACATTACATGTATTGGACATTCATTTTACGGTAGTATACAATTTTTGGAAGTGAAAAAGACCGTATAATTTACAGTGAATAACCGTAAATTGACAATCCCAGAATTCCCTGCGTTACATTTCAAATTTGATGTTTTTTTGTTGAAATAACTATCTTTCTTCTTAGTTTTTTCTTATCAGTTTTGTATATTAGGGTTGTGTGTTACACCTAATGCTGTTAAATAAATGTTTATTGCATTATTTCATTTTTATGTGTGTTACAATGATGGTGGTTTAGTGTTTGTGTGAATGACACTGTGCACCTTCTATATACGTTATTATTTAAAAGCTGCTTGTGATGGGCTTTGGTTCATCATGTGACTTTCTCATCACCACCTGCATTTGGTGGTTATCAGTGTATTACAAAGGTACAAAACAGATTTCAGTACTTCAATAGGTTGGTATATTAACATTATATCAGTTAATGAAATTACGGTATTTAACTGTAAATTTAAGTTAAAACCGTAAAACCTAAAATGTTGCGGCCGTATTTTTTAACGGTAAAATTACGGCAACCACAGCTGCCGGTTTTTTACCGTAAATTTAACGGAATTTTTTTACAGTGAGGCAAATTAGACGCAGGTTTCAAGATTTGGGCTGACAAGGGCATTCGAAAGATAGCAGATCTATATGTTAGCAATACTCTTATGTCATTTGAGGAAATAGTTAATACATACAATATTCCTACAAAACATTTCTTTAATTATTTACAAATAAGAAATTTTATCCTCAAATCACAAAATAATTCCCTCGACATGCCATCTATTTTGTAAAAAGAAGTGACAAGAAATTGTTTTAGTAAAGGTTTAATTTCTTCATTATTTAATATGCTGGTGTCAGGATCAAAGGACTCTTCAAATCACTAACAATGAACACATGACTAAACCTGCTACAATGTAAGTGGTTGATGAGGATTTACATAACTGATCAGACTAAAATTTCGATCGGATTGCAAGGGGTGGTTTTATTCCTTTTATAATCCGAGCGAGAAGACATGTAAACCTCTAAAACAGAATGAATTAATTCAGATGGAAGCGAAAAGTGTCCATGTAAACGTACCTACTTGCTTAAGATGCAGTGACTTTAAAGGAACGCTATACCACTGTATATAGGAGTGAAAGATGTGAAAGAAATGATAGAAAAGATCCTTGATGTTAACACACCACTGTCACCTTTAATCTTTTTATTTCATTTATATCCTAAGGAGATCAAGTTAAAAAAGACGGAGTATATATTTATAAATATATGTATTCTTCAAGCGAAATGGCTTATTTCTTTCAATTGGAAAAGTATATATGCACCAAATATAGGACAATGGCTGAAATCTTTTTAAAAAAATATACATTAAAGGGGTCATATGATGCTTTTTTAAAGATCATTATTTTGTGTATTTGGTGTAACAGAATACGTTGACATGATTTAATGAAAAAACACATTATTTTTCAAATACTGTACATTATTGTAGGTCCTCTATGCCCCGCCTCTCTCAAACGCTTCGTTTTCCACAAAGTCTCTCCTTCCGACAAGCGCAGTCTGCTCTGATTGGCCAGCTGACCCAGTGCATTGTGATTGACCGAACACCACAAGCACTCGTCGGAAATGTAACGCCCCTTACCATAATCGCGAGCTTCAGCTTTCAAAATAAATGTAAAGACAGAGCCCGAAAGGGGAACAGAGTCACGTGACAGACACAGGGATGAGGCTGGTATGTGTTTGCAGTGCACAAGCCACGGTTAAGACAGCTGACACTGTTCTCTCGTTCTCTCTCTCGTTAAAATGCAATAAAAAGAAATATAAAAAAAGAAAAAAGAGCCGAATTTAAGCAAGTGACCCAGAGCTCAACCTAAACCCTGTCTGAAAGAATATTAGATTTGATCTGCCTTTCTTATATCAACAACAACAAGACTCAAATATTCTGCATTATAAAAAGCTTTCCATATTACTATAGCTCCCTGCTACTGTCAAACACAAAGGGCTCAATTTAATAAAAGATTGCTGATATTACAATCTCTCATATACTTGGAATATTACATCAGGGCAGCGGAACAGAACAGTCGAGCTCACCGACCCTGGGTCTGTGTCGGGTGTTGTCACAAGAGCCCATACAATATGACATACTATTAGTCTCCATAGTTAATCACCACCATCTTTTGATCTCATTGCGCTCTGCTGAGAAAACATAGTGTTGTTTCTTCTTCCAGGGTTCCTTGAAGTTTGCCTGTAACTCCAGCAAGGAGGCCCCTGCCGTACTCTGACACATTAATGATTAGTCTGAATTTTCCAGACGTGACCTCTGCTTCAATCCCTCCATCACGGCTTGATAGCAGAAAGGAAGGGAAAATGCTTCTCCTCTGACTCCCAAACCTCCCTCATAACACACAGAAACACTCACACACACAGGAGACGCCACCCACGGCACAAACGGCTCGAAAAGACTCGCCGCTCCACATTGCAGCAGCAGCCAGTCAGACGCCTTATCACACACACACGCCAAGCTTACGGCTTCTGGCTTCCATCCAGCCCTGTCACAACAGACTCACTCAAATGTCACACAAAGAAAGTCGACACGAGACTTGAATCTGGCAGCTCAATTTGGGAACATGCTAATTCATTTCTGAAGTAAAGTTGGCATGTCTGGAAGTCTCACCTTGCTGAAACGGACTGGTTGAAGAGGGAGCTGTGGATGACGTCGCTGTGGTGACCACAGGGCCGTGGGGTTTGCCTGGCACGGACTTGCGGCCCCTGGAGCCAGAGCTCGAGTTGGTGCTGTGACTGCTGGACTTCTTGCTTTTGCCATCCGAGCTCTTGCCATCAGAGAGGCTGCCATCCTTGGAGCTGGAACTGGAGTGAGACGGAACTTCCTGGAAGTTGGCAGTGGTGAAACGACCTCCGCTGTCGTCCAATCGCTTCTGAGTAGAGGAGATTGAGGAGACACTTCCACCACTGCTGCTGTTGTAGCTCTGTGGCCAAAAAGGGAAAGGCAGACATGGACAAAAATGCTTAGAGTGCTTTTTGTAAAATAATGTCATGACAAAAAAGTAAAAAGTAATTAAATGAATATTGAAAAAAAATACAATAAAATTAATAGAAATTTTAAATAAAATAAATAAAAAATTAGCATGCATTTATCATAGTCTAACTCACCTTCTCAGAGGTCACCATCAGTGCTGGCACCAGGGAAGGTGACAGTTCCAAAGATTTTTTGTGCTTTGGTTTGTGGCGATCTCTTTCTTTATGTTTCTGTGATGAAACGACACAAACAAAAACATTAATGAAGATGGTTCCGCAAATGCTTTAAAGCCAGTACAGCTTGGGAAGGACTTTAGCCTACAGTGCCATTTCTGAAACAAAGAGGCAGAAAGATGAGAAACTCAAAAAGGTGAAACATTGAAAGTTTCATTCTGAACGAGTCAATCATTTGCATGCATTCAAACCCAGCAAGGATAGTCACTTGTGCGGTCCATGAAGATCTTCTTGTAAAGAAAAAGAAAGATTTTCCTGTAGAAGGGTAAGGTTTCACATTGCAGGCCTGACCAGAGTCTACAGCTGCTTAATTTACACCCCAGTCTAGTGCCGCGCTCCACACAGTTCTATTTGCGCCCGAGAAACGGGAGCGTGAACAAATTTACACCTCGCACTCCAATAGAACACCTCCAACCTCTCCGTTTCTGTTCTTAAGAGTGCGGCTGTAAAAATATGCAGTGATCCTGAACCAATCGTAAAGAATATTTACACATTCTCCACTGGAGCGATATACAAACGTCTATCTTTTTTTAGCCACTTCCTGTCATCTTCCAGCCATTGTCTCAGTTAGAATTGACAATTATTCTGAACATGATAACGGTTTATGCTACTTCTCAGTGCAAGTGGCAGTGACGATTCCAGAGGCCCTCAGGCTCAAGTTATTCAATGAAAATGAGCTTCCGCTTCCTCTACACCATTTGCAATTTTCCTGCATATACTATTTTAAATGCCATTTTCTGAGAATAGGAAAATCATACACATTTGAAATGAAGGTTTTGAATAAGCACCCTGGCAATTTTTTTAAGTGGGTGGAAAAGATTGTATTTGTATTGAATACTCAATGCTATTGGTTTTCATCTGCAACCTACAGATCCAAATGTCACTGTTTTTGTTATGCTCAGCTCTAAATCACAAAATGTTATTTTAAAAATCACAAAACAGTTTATATGCAGCAAAATGACAAGTATATTAATGGTGACCAAATCTTTAAAATTATAACAGCATTTACTGAAATTATAAAGCGTTGTAATGCCACATTTGCTCCCCAAGAAAAGTGCTAATTTTAAATGGATGCTAAGACAAGAATCCAAGTCTTAATTAACATTGTTCCTAAAGGTGTTGACAGGGCGGGCGTTATTGTGAGGGGAAAAAAAATCATGTCACTACTTGGCTGTGTTTATGACTGGAAAAAAGAAAAATACACATAACATTCATCTTATTTCCATCAAATAAATAAATTGAAAGTCTAGATATGCAGACCCTTACATAATGACAAAACGCAGGTATGAACTGCTGTTTACTGGTCTATTTAAAATTCTGGCACAAACGTCTTGCAAGAGTTTGACATAAGACGACAGACAGCTATCTTAATTATACAAAGATGAATAGTTCAGTTAGAGGTGAGTGCAAAAGAGAGAGAACAAAAAGCCAAGACATTTATCATAATTCATCAATGCCTTCAGCAGATTAGTGAAATGTAGCAAATCTCTTTCAGGATGAACAAAGAAATTACTCCTGAGGCTTCGGGCTAAGTATTAAAATTCAACTACGGAAATGAATAAATATAATAAATCTTAAAATAAAATAAAAAAAGTTTAAATACAAAAGAAGAAAACTAATCATACAGAAAACAAAGCAAAAAACCCAAACAGATCAGAATTTAAGATATGTGAGGCAGGAGGAGGAAGAGAGATTGAAAACATCATTTTATTCCCACATGCCGCTCTCGACTGCCTCTCAGAACACATCTGAACTAGCTGCAAATTGAGAAGCTTTTAGCCTCTATTGTTGTTTGGCCCTGGGGTTTGGAATTAGCTAGGTATACATCTGAGCCCCCCGACCTTTGACCTGGGAATGTGGAGTAGGGGGGATGGGCCCCCTTTGCTAATGCAAATCAGGCATCGTAACAATAGCCATGGCGGAGCACAGAGCACTCCACAACACCATCTTCAAGAATACGGCTCCAACCCGAATCATTGTTTACGTCAACCCCTCTCAATGCAGAATAAGGCGAAGAAGTTAAATATCAGAATAATTCTGGAAGAAACGGCTTTAAATGGCATCTCATATTTAATCTTTCGCTGACCTAGATTACACAGGCTGCACAGTCGGTCTTTGAGCAGCTTAGAGCACCATCCACTCCATTTTGGTATGCATTTCCAATGCAAACTCATTCAAACCAATTCAAATAATTAGTGAATTTGTGTCAAATAACCAACAGCCTCGATGAATGACCTCCACTCCCTGCTGTAAGTGCTCAACTGACTATTGAGAGCTTTCAGATTCACATTTAAATACATGAATGGAATACAATTCCTTAAATGGAGTCTAATACTTTACATTACTTTAAAATGTGATTCATAATGACTGAAATGGTTTTAGCCTAATTGCTTTGTTATACAAAATACAATAGCAAAATAATACAAATATATATATTATATATATATATATTTTAAAAAATGCATGTGTGATTCCACACTTTACAATTGATTCGTGACTTAATATATAAGCTGGTAAGCTTGCAGAATAGCATAAAAAAATTATCACGTTTCAAAAGAATTTACATTTTTTAACATTTCAAGGGGATTTTAAAAAAGACATAACATGTCATAAAATTCCCTTTATTTAAAATAAAAAAATATCACTAGAAAATAATAATGAATAATAATAATTAAGCAGAATTATTAAATTATGAGTATATTAAATAAATAGTAAATATATGAAAATATATGAAAAAAGACGTAAATTCTTCCAACAAATGTCAAAAACTGAAAAATGCGACAATACATTTAAAGAAATGTTTAATCAACATTGAGAGCCATTTTAATGACCCGGTTCGTATAGAACAAATCAGGCAAGCTATCGCTGATTAAGATGGCTGCACAGAGGCTGAGTGTTTGAAATATGTGGGATCTGCTAGGGACAGGCAGAAATTGATCAGTGACGATGGATAGATGTGACAAGCTCCTCCGCACATTTCACACTATGAGGTCTGCTGGATTAGAATTTCAGATACCACCGTTATTACAGCAAGAAGAGAAAAATAGAGGCAGAGGCACAATCAAACATGTTTTCCACGCAGTACAGATCTTCTTCTGCTGGTACGTACACATTTACTGATATGAGGCCATGTTACAGGGCCTACGCTTAATTGAATTAGATGGGAAGGCGAACAGGGCTAATAATGCTACATGTTTCATTCGGTATGGCTGCGTATAGAAAATTAGTGGAACAAATTACTACACTACCTATCAATACTGATTAAACGTACTCTGTGGAACTAATGGCCATGACGGATGCTTTTCTATGAATACAGCACTCTTTATGTTGATCATTTGTGGCAGCACCAAAATACTAATCACTTTGAGTGATAAAAGGCACTCTTCTCCCTCCCGTGGCTTTAAAAGCTTTGTGGGATATGAAAAGTGTGCGTGTGAGGGGCAGCACAGGGTGACAGTGGCTCGTGTGATTTAAACAAAACTAATCACAGCGGTGCATATTTCGGACAAACAAGAGTTTTGGCTTTGTGCGTTTACCTCATAGTCTGAAGTCGTGAGGAGGGGGGCATGGCAGGAAGTGAGGTAGATCTGGAGGCTGCCTTACCTTCTTTTCCTTGTCATGGTGCTTATCCAAAGAGTGAGTGGAAGAATCGCTTAAGTTTTGAGCCCTACTACCACAGCCTTTGCTCCTTCTCTAAAAGGTGAAAGAGGAACTTCGAGTTACCATTTAAAGTCTGTCCAATTATTTTTTTCCTACTTCTGTCTTTTTTTTTTTTATTATTTTATTTTTTTTTTGCAACACTGAAAATAGCCCTTACTGAGACAAAGGAAACCGATAGAAGACAATAACGGAAGGAAAGAAGGAAAAAGACATTGTCATGATGACCAATCAGGATATTCTTGTATTTTGAGAAGCTACTTTGTCAAAAAGCAACTTGCATGAGAATATTTGTCGGCAGGTTTGTTTATTGTAACAGTATGGCAGCATCCAAGAGCTATTTTCCTTACAGGAATATAGTTTGGGAAAGCCAAAGTTTAATTTCTCTATTAAAAAAAATACAAATCAACAATATTTTCTTACTAACAGAAACAGCTGATATATATTTAAAAAAGCGCTTTCAAACTGACCAACTTCACGTATATCCTCACAACATAATTTCAATTCTTCCTAATATTTTTCTCCATTTATTAAAAAAAAATCTTAGTAAAATATGCCTAATTTCTTTTGAAGTCAATGGTATCTAATGCTCCTATTGTCAACAAATGCCACATAAAAACCTCAGGTCACAGAATGGTCTTTGTTTACCAGCAGCCCACTGAAACAAAGGCCTACATGGAAAAGTCAGGGGTTAGTAGCCAGCTATTGAACTATTAATCCAAGAGACTGTGCTGATGCTGTCAGTCCATTGACATGGTGACAGGGAGACATGGTACATCCTGCAGAAACATCATGCTGTCATGTACAATAGTGCAATCACCACAATGGATGACAACAAACAAAACGAGCAATGTGCTGTCATTTTATTCTGACAAAACAACAAAATGTGAGATGGCAAAAAATATTTCTTTAAACATTTATATATCTTAATTATATTTATATAAATGAACACTACAGTTTAAAAGCTTGTAGCCATTTTAAGCTTTTTAAAAATGTTTTTATGAAGCCTCTTTATATGATCAAAAATGCAGTAAAACATTAAAATTGTGAAGTATTATTACAATTTAATATTGTATTGTATGTCTTCACTGTCAATTGAAATGCACCCAATTCTGAAAGTATAAATTTTTCAACTTTTGAAAGGTAGTGTACATGTATAAGTTTTTAAATCATGATGATATAAATATATATTTATATATAAGCCAACAAAGATGCTAAAAAGCCCAAATAATCCCATGAAAAAAAAAAACCCTGGTAAAATATGAATGAATACATAAAATCACAAAAGTAACAAGAAAAAAAGACATGAAATACTCTGACTCCAGCATCTATCACCAGAAACCAGAGTAGTCATAAATGCCTGAATGAAATAAAACGGTGTATACATAAATAAACATCACTATCACTCCATCCTCAACTCATTACAATCCCCTATGAGAACATCACAAAGCGCTGGCCCTGCCTCCAGCCCCTTACTCAGAAGACCTGTAGAGGACTAGCAGTATCTGAGAAGCCTTTGTTGAGTGGGAGGATAGACACACACACACAGCACAAATCTGAAAAGCAGCAGGGGGCTGTGGCTCTAAAGCTCAGCGTAGCTCTAGGGCTGGAGTGAGTAAAACCCCTTGCCACACATACACACGAACGAACGAACGCCCAAGTCCACAAGTACACTCATGACCGAGCGAAGCTGGACAGAAAACCACAGGCCGTTATGCTGTCACTGAGAGCTGCCACTGGGCAGTCCGTGTATCTCTCTGAAACCTTAGCCCTCTTTTTCTGAGAGGGGTATTAAGACAGAGTGAAGGGGGAAATGCAGGAAAGGGGGGGGTGATGGGAAGGAGAGGAAAGGAGAGCCACAGACAAAGGTCCAGTGAGTTGCTGTTGATTGTCAACGAGATTAAGGGGTTAAAGGGTTTGAGGGAGATTGAGGTGGGGGCGGCAGGGGCCGCTGGGGGCTTATGCCACAGCTCAGCTTTCAGCAGCTGTAATTGGACCAGGAGTGCGAGACATTTGAGAAATTAGAGATATTCCAGATGAGGGAGTGTCTTTTTCTGCGTTCACGTGTGATTCTGGATGTGCAAGAACAGCTTGAACGATGATGACATGGTCACAATGAAGCGCTCGACATGATTCATGTACTGGCCAATGTAAAAAATCAGTAGCTTGAGTGCTTCGGAAATGCACTAGAGACATGAAGTATACCTCAATATATGAAGCACTAATGGCAAAAGACACAAACCATGACCATCAAATACTAACTCACTTTTAAAACACGTAACTTATGGGAAAAACAACACAATCTCCTGTTCTGAGGAGTCTGGGATCTGTAAGATTTCTTTTTAAAGTTTTTGAAAGAACCAGGCTGCATTTATTTAATCCAAGCACAGTAAAAACAGTAACAGTGAAATGTTATTACAATTTCATATAATTGCTTTCTATTTTAATGTATTTTAAAATATTATTTATTCTTGTGATGCAAAACTGAATTTTTAAAAGCCAGTACTCCGTATTCAGTGTCTCGTGATCTTTCAGAAATCTTTCTTACGTGTTGATTTGGTTCTCAAGAAACATTTATTATTGTTAATTACAGTTGAAAAATGTTTAAATTTGAAACTCAAAAAAAGTTGAAAGTTCAAATTCAAGTTTCAAAAAAAGTATTAATGCTTAATATTTTCATGGAATCTGTAATGGTTTTTTTTTTCTGGATTCTTTGAGGAATAGAAACAATAAAATAGAAAAAAACAGCATTTATTTGAAATGCAAAATGCCTTTACTGTCACCTTTGATTAATTTAATGCACCCTTGCTCAATAAAAGCACTAAACTTTTTTTTTTTTTTTTAATCATACCGATCCAAATCTTTTTGAACACTAGTGCATCTACCTGCACATCATCTTGAAAACCACTTAAAGATACCACACAGATTTCCTGTACGGCAACTTTTATTTATATTCAGCCTGGACATCATTAATGCTTTAATTTCAAATGACAGAATTTCTCCAATATCATCGACCAAAAGCATAAACTGTGGGCTCCACAACAGCGGTGCTTTGTGTCAGGGTGATACAGATAGAACAGTAAAGTTTAGAAAAAACTGATTCTTACCAATTTGCTGTAATGGTACTTGCAGTACCCACAGTATTTCACATTATCAGCATCTGAGCCTTGTTCTTCACACAATAACCCAGCAAACTGAGCGCTATATTCAAAGACAGAGAAAAAGCAACTTTAAAAAGACTATAGATTACAATTACAGTAATTGTTTTAACTATTTTTATACAATTAAAGGGGTCTCAAATCAAATGAAGTCTGAAGTCTGTTGTATTTAACATTTCTATTCCTATCCATTTAACAGATGGCATAATTAAGGACATTAACATGCTCATGAGGACGTATAGATGGAATATTAAGGCTCTGCAACTCACCATGTGACATGAAAGGCCTGTCGGCAGCCATGTTTGTTGCATGTCATGCAGGCTCCAGTAGCAGCTTTGCTCTCACGGCCCTGTTCCTCACAGATGTAGCATGTCTAGATAGAAAAAAAAACAGTCACTGAAGTGATTCTTCACTTACAGAAAGCAGTTATTATGGTATATAATGCATTGTTGCACGGCCCACAGCTTGTTTAGCGTGAAGGCTCTACCAATTTAACAAGTCTCTCAGAAGCCGCCCTTCCCAGCGCCTCGATTATTAGGCAAGTGATAACCATGCCATTTTAAATTGGCTCACAGTGAGGACTCAATTACCAACAGAGCTGAATCTATTTTATCCCATATTTTAAACCCACTATTTCAAGCATGAGATTAAACTTGGCTCCTTAGTCCTGCGAGTCATCAGACACAGTACTGAATCCAAATCATATAACACTAACTGATTGTATTTTACTTATCTACTGCATTGAAGGGCATCCATAGAAAACAAAACATAATTAGGTTTTCAAATAAAAAAATAAAAGCATGGTGTCATGATGGCATAACCCATTAGTACTTGATTGAACATTGTTTTCTTTACCCTCACGGTTGAGTGAAAAAGTTTTAAGCTAACATCTAAACATTTGGACTTTGCAATTAGTCTTGAGTTACAGTGATGCGCAGGACTCCAACCAGTAGTATTATAAACCTATACCTGCAAGTATTTAATAAACAAATTAATATTCACTCATGACTTTTAATACTTTTTTCTTAGGCTTGGAAATGACTTAAAAAAAATTCTCTGATATTTGATGAATAAGAATATCCAATGACAAATAGATATGGTTGGTTCTTTTCATTTCGGACCGTGAGTGTAAACTCCCATAACATGGATCTGAGTTTTCATTCATTCAGCTTTGGTGCAGAATTAATAGCAACATTCTATGTTTATCTAAGATTGATAAATGTAGCACTTGGTCCCTTAAGAAAACACATTCACAGTATAGACCTAAACTCCTTACATGCATACCGTTTACATTGCTGAGCTGATTTATGAGGCTCTTATGTTGAGCCTTTGTTTTCCCATTGATATCCAGACTATCAGCATGTGTCTTTCAGTGGTTAGAGAACTTACCTTATTATAACGTTCATGAGGGACAGACTGAAGCACGATGGGCTCCATGGTGGATACGTTGGCGAACTCCACTTCTGGGATATAAAGAGCACAAACCACATGGGCCCAACCTAAACAAGACACATGACAAATGATCAGATGATGTTAAATTAAAGTGGCTAAGGTTGAATTCTTTTTTTTATTTCTATGCAAACCTGCTGTAAAGATGGAACTGGGTTTAACAGTATAAAAAATTGTAAAAAAAAAAATTCAAAAACTGGCTCCCTCCATAAACACATCCAAACATGCATGAGTTTAAATACAAAATGAGATGTTTCCATCAGGTGTAAATACAGACTGAGTGTTCTTTGCTCAGCAGGAGCTGTAGATGTCTAATCAGTCATTTATGGGTTATGAGCTCCTCGTGGATCTTCACAGGTTCCAGCCGACTGACCGAAGGAGGTTATTTTCTCTACTTTTTTAGTTCCGCTTACAGGTTTGGATTTTTGGATTTTTTTCCATATTTCTAATATATCTAAACCGCCAAGTTGCAAAATAGTTTTAATTTTCCAAACCTAGTTATCTAGTCTAACAAATTCGGTTAAATATATATTCTTTTTTTTTTTTTTTTTACAAATTACTTAAATATAACTTTGTAGTTTTTCAATAAAAAAAATCAAATAACATTTTAAATTATTAATAAAATTATTAAAATTATTTTTGTTGTTGTTCTTATTTTTAATAATATGATTTTCTATTAAAATCAGGATGTCAAAAAGATGGATAATGCCAAATAGGAGGCTCTTATATATATTCAACACATTTTCTGTCTTTCTGTTTTCAAATTTATTCGAGACCATGGTCATTTGTTTGCTCATAGTCGTGCCTATGGGGCACGCCTGGCTTCCTCCACAGTGTGAAAAACACTTATTAAAGCATGTGGGCTGAGTGTGACCGCAAAGACGAAACACCCAGGACTGGAAGAGGCAGAGGCATATTCTCTCCTGCCTAGTGTCTAGACCAAGTGTTGAACCATAGGGTGTCATCACAAGCACAATACATAAATATTATATCATAATTTCAGGCTACTACTAAACCTTATCTCCCACATCAGCTGTCTTTTAACCACAAAACCCCCAAACTGTGAGAATTTAGATTTAATAACCATATTCTGCAATATGTTTGTTAGAGGTGAGCAGATGCTACTGATATCAAGTTGAAATTAACCTAAAAGAAGTGAACAAATGAGTTTTGTTTATCCAGCTTAAGGGCAAAATAACAGGCCTAAACTTAAAGGTGAACCCATGAACTGTCTTTGACCCCAGCCTAAAGAGACAGGGAGGTGGGTTTTGTTGTTTTGAAGTCCCTCCAAGAATCCAGCAGAAGCCTATAAAACCAGGCAATAAAACCCAAGCACACCCCAAAGAACTTCTAAACCCCTCAGAGACAGAAGGGTGGCAAATGTAAAAAGAGAATGATTTGCCAAAGATGTCTTTAGCTGAGCATAAAGTACTCAAATAATCTTGTTCTTCAAATTCTAGTTAGACAGAATAACTGTAAACTTTTGGACAAAAGCAACAATAAAAAAAACCCTGAAAGGTTATACCAGAGAGGCAAAAACTGGTCTGAAGGCTCCACGTGAAGAAGGATGCGTTTTTCAGTTTTTATTTCCTTACATGTGTTTCAACACATGTTGTTAGGCCAGGTATATTCCCTGCTCAAGTGTTTTCATTTGGGATTATTCTTGTGTTTGCATAACTTAACAGAAGCAACACCTGTAAAAACCTCTCCATGTGCTGGTCTGGTCACTGCTGCCGAGTTTCACGCCTCAGTTGGCCGAAATGTATAGATATCTTAGAAGCAAATCACGAACACCTACATCTCACTACTGGGATCATTGCTGGTCCAAACAAATACTTCCTACAATTTATGTTTCAGAAATCTTTACTCCTACTCATAAATAATGGCAAATCATGGAATGTTTATGACGAAGAACTTCAAAAGCCTTTTCAAATTCAGGCCAAAAAAAAAAAAAAAAAAAAAAAAAAAGGAGATTACATGGTCTGAAACAGCTAAACTGTAAGCCTGGGGCAATGATGTTTCCCTCATGGCCATTAAACAGCTCACCACCCCTAAAGATGGGGCATGGTCCCGCAGCTGTGTCCCATGCCATGTTTACAGTCTCTGAGCTGCCCTTGCCGTGAACCCAGAGCATGAAGAAGAGGAGACTCCTCTCAGCCCCACAATGACCCCGCTGAGACCGCCCACCCATAAAAACAAGGTGAGAGAGATAAACACGCACACTTCCTAACCCTTTGCTCAACTGCTTAAAAAAAAAAAGCAGATAAAATCTACAAATTATATGCCAAAAATAACGTAAAACCTTTGGCTTGTTCAAAAGGAGTTTAGATGCATTTTAGAAAAAGAAACATTAAAAAATACATCTGAACTCTGCATTTATTCATTGCAATACTTTCCTGAAATCCAAATTAAATTACGTTTAGGTGAGACATATGAAGATATTTTTTACTAATTAACAGCTTATGGAAGAGATATGGTAATAAACCCTTTTGACAGCAACATTTCCATTAAACAGCTCACCACCCCTAAAGATGGGGCATGGTCCCGCAGCTGTGTCCCATGCCATGTTTACAGTCTCTGAGCTGCCCTTGCCGTGAACCCAGAGCATGAAGAAGAGGAGACTCCTCTCAGCCCCACAATGACCCCGCTGAGACCGCCCACCCATAAAAACAAGGTGAGAGAGATAAACACGCACACTTCCTAACCCTTTGCTCAACTGCTTAAAAAAAAAAAGCAGATAAAATCTACAAATTATATGCCAAAAATAACGTAAAACCTTTGGCTTGTTCAAAAGGAGTTTAGATGCATTTTAGAAAAAGAAACATTAAAAAATACATCTGAACTCTGCATTTATTCATTGCAATACTTTCCTGAAATCCAAATTAAATTACATTTAGGTGAGACATATGAAGATATTTTTTACTAATTAACAGCTTATTGAAGAGATATGGTAATAAACCCTTTTGACAGCAACATTTCAGTGATAATTAAAACTGCCAGAGGATAGCAGTGAAATACAGCATACAAGAGAAAATCAATTCACTTCATTGTTTTTTTACTATGACTTTCATTAGAGGCATAAAAATAGAAAGGTGCCATCCTCATCAGAGCATATGTTCTTCTCAAGAGCTTCCATCATTTTATCACCTCACAATTAAAACTGGGCTGACTTACCCCATTTGAAAACAATGACAATTTACTTATTGTGGAGGTAATACTAATTTAACCCAACAAATGTTTTTTTCTTCAAAGATTTTATTAAATAATTGGTCTATTAAACACACTCAAATCATCAAAAAATTAAAGCAAAATATAAAGCATTACAAAACCGCGCACAGCGTCATATGTGTTACCAATGGCTGCCATCATGTCTAACATAATTTACGCTACAGGCCTACATTTAGCAAATAAGTGACTGCAGTCTATTTTCGTCAACAACATTTAGAGTAGGCCTAATGCTAGAGATGTTTTTCCTCAGCAAGTGCAAAATAAAAACAGACAGTCTTACCTCCATTATCTGTTCGTTTCAGTGCTCCGTCTTTGTGGGGACACAGCTCACACCTCTGTGAAAAGAAAAGAAATACATGAATCCACAATCCATCCAACCATCTGTGGGCCAGACACAAACGCTGAGGGCTTTCAGGAACTCTACTTTTGACATGGACATCAAACTAAAGCAGAGTTTAAGGGTTAGACATCATTTTTCCCTCTTTAAACTAGAGAACAGAGGATCTTGGCAAAACTGATCAATGAAACAGTAGACAAGAGCCTTTGATAGTTGACTGAAGCTGGAAAACATCCCTGAAGAGCTGCTTCTATATTCAAGGATAAAATAGGATCTGTTCTGCTATAGGAGAAAAACAGGTTTAGACAACATTTTTTTGAAACAAATGACAGGACAAGAAAATAAATCCCTGTGAATATAAGATGAATGATGGAATAAAGACAGCTACTACCCGGTTTGATCAACAACAAAAAATAGATGTGGTTGAGAGTGTCCTAAAGGAATGGGCACTGACACATGGTCTATTCCACATGCATAAATACTATGACATTTCACTCATCTGTAAATCCTTGAACGGGGTTAGATATTTGGGCATAACATTGTGCTTGGAACCATGCCGTTACTTGCCACATACCACTATGTTCAAAGTTTTTAAGCTTCTGCTCAGTCTGCTGTCCTCCTCCTCTTTGTTACAGGTGGTGGACAGTCCTCCTCCTTCAGGGGTCTGCCAGCTCGGCTTTCTCCCCCTCCACCCTTTAATCTTTGGGAATGAAGTGGCAGAGCAGGGCACAAATGGGTAAAAATGGGCTCATTTTTAGTAAGTGGAGGAATGAGGACAAATGCAGAAATTTGGTTTCATAATTATGCTTTGGGAAAAGGCTTAGTTTTAAAAGTGCTCCAGTAAGCTATGATTTTCACAAATCTTGGTTAGAAGTGGCAAAAAGGCCACAAAAATATTACAAGTGACAAACTTGTGGATACAAATAGGGAAGTCCTTTTTCTTTTCAGAATGAGAGCAAATGGCATTGAAAATGTTTCTAACCTCATAAAAGGCGTTATTGTGAGATGCCTTGTTTTGGCACGAATCTAGATATTTCAACAAAAATGGCCACATAATGGGTTGTGTAACAAGTTTCCCCTTCTTGTGACCCACTATTCTTTTGCTCTAAACTGCCACTTAGGATTCATGGCTACCTGACAGCTCACGCAAGTCACATGCACAGCCATCAAATCGCAGAGCTCTCAAAGGAAACTGCTGTAACTGCCAACACAACATTGCCTATCCTAATCATTCATGTTTCCTTTATCCCAACCACCATCTTCTATTAATAAATACAAGAATGGCATTTATTTTAAGCTACAGCATGTTTTAAGAAACAGGGGCATTATGTAGGACACTACCATTGACTACAACACATTATAAACATGTAGCAAAAGACTCAAACAAATAAAGGTGTTTCCTCAAATATGGCAGGTTTTTTTCATTGTGCTACAAGGATGTTGAATTTAAACATGGTCTTATTTACTGTATCAGTGGTTCTCAACCCGTGGCCTGCGGGACGAGAGCGGCCCATCACGAATTCTGAACACAATAAAAAAAAAAAAACTTTCAGTTTTACAATTCATTTTAGTTTTTACATTAATTAAAAAATGTACTAAATAAATATAAGCTATAGCCTAATGTTTTTATGTAAAATAATTTTGTTTTTCATATATTATTTTCAGACATGAGCAGTACTCGCATAGCCTAATTAACGTTACACATTTAAAGTAATGACCAAGTGGCCCCGGTGTTGATTCTCCGCAGTGCTGGGGGATGGTGTCTTGTAATTGGTGATTTCTTTTAGACTTTTCCACACTGATGCCGAGTCACTGGAAGAGAATTTAATCCTTATTTTTTCTGAATAATTCCTCTTTGCCACTCTGATCTCCTTTTCCAGTGTGTATTTAGCCTGTTTATACAAGACATTATCCCCCTTCCTGTGAGCATCTTCTTTGGCCTGACGGAGCTGTCTGAGTTTTGCAGTGAACCATGGTTTGTCATTTTTGTAAGTTAAGTGAGTCCTCATGCCTCACAGACATGATAAATATATCGATGGAAAGCTTTAAATTACTAATTAACGAAATAAAACAAATCAAAAACAAAAACTCTTTCATTATAATCATAATCCGTAAAGATGAACTTCTCTCTAAAGGCGCGTCTAATAAAGAGGTGGCGAGTCAGGATCGGCAACTTCATCCTTGCGACACCGACTCAGAAAACACTATTTATTCGTAAATAATTAAAATATCTCCTTCCTCTTTTCCCCTGACACATTTAAGGTTAGTACTTTTACCGATGCTTTGCTGCAAGCTTAAGCCAATTGCGTGCATTTGAACTCAGAACTCTTCAGCTGCGCTGACAGCACGCTCCATACATGCTGCTGCTGGACACTAAACACCATCGAGACGCTCTTGACAGTCACGGTAGCATGATCTCATGTTGTTTCCACCAGCACGGCAATTTTTTCATCACTAATTGACGAATGTCTAAAATATAAAAACAAGGAGAAGCCTAAAACAGGCCCGAGCCCCTGCCCGCGTCTGAACTATGACGTGAAAATTGTCCCGAAGCCCTCTTGAAGACAATGATTGGCTGGTTCAGGTGTGTTTGATTAGGGTTGGAGCTAAACTCTGAAGGAAAGTGGCCTGGAAGGGCCAAGTTTGCCCACCCCTGATTTAGCCTTCTCAAATCATCACGACTTGCCTAAAATAAAATCTATAGATATAAAGCCATCTCGTCTTGAACAGGAGCGCTTACAAAAATGAACCGAAACTCAGCGAATACATGCCTCACAGACATGATAAATATATCTATAGAAAGCTTTAAATTACTAAACGAAATAAAACAAATAAAAAACAAAAACTCTTTAATTATAATCTTAATCCGTAAAGATGCACTTCTCTCTAAAGGCGCGTTTAATGAGGAGCTGGTGAGTCAGGATCGGCAACTTCATCCTTGCGACACCGACTCAGAAAACAGTAGTTTTGTGTTGTTTCCACCAGCGAGGCAATTTTTTTCATCACTAATTGATGGATGTCTAAAATATAAAAACAAGGAGAAGCCTAAAACAGGCCCGAGCCCCTGCCCGCGTCTGAACTATGACGTGAAAATTGTCCCGAAGCCCAGCCCGAGGGGCGTAAAAAAGTCGGGCCTGAGCTGAAATGCAGGGCTCTAGCTCTGATTAGGGATGCGCCGATCCGATATTCATATCGGGTATCGGCTCCGATAGTGCCATTTTTCTCGGATCGGGTATCGGTCATAGAGAGCCGATCCAAATCCAATAATTTCTTTTTTTCTTTTTTTTACCCCGATTGTGCGAATTATACTGTGTTACTTCTGAAGCCATATGATAGCTTAATGTGAGCTACATATGAATATTTAAGTCCTTACATTAAAGTTCACACAAACTCTTTTCTCCGCTGTGGCTGTCAGTCATTCGTTCAGCCTTTAAACCCTGGTCTCGTTCAGTTACAGCAGTCAGCTCGATAAAGCTCCCTCCAAGATCATTCTGTGTTCCCATTATACTTGATTTGTAAATACATGTCTATGATTTAGCAAAAAGGACTTTATCTTCTTGCCGGAGTTTAATGTTGTTTTGTTACTTGCTACTGGGTGTCTGTGGAAACAAAACACGGGCATAGAAAAGACTATAAATAGTTTTTAACGTGCACAGTAACTGAAATTTAAAACTGTTAAATAACTGTTGCACAGATATAATACTCTACGCACAATTTCTCTTCCCTTTGTGCTTTGCACTTTTTAACACGAAGC